TACTAATAATTTGCATGATAAAATCACATACTCATTTATGATAGTAAGATATATCAAATTTATGCCTGATGGATTTTTTAGTTTATTTAAATTAAATTTATGACATTTAAAAGTAGATGATATGAAGGATTTAATTAAAATAATCAATAAATTAACTACTAGTAGATATAATATAGTACAATCTATTTTTAATAATAATGGGTAATAAAGTGTTTTTTTTTATAACTGAACTGAATTTTTAATTAATTATTTTAATATTATTTCACAAATTAAAAAGCAATATATTTTATACTAAATCAGAATAAAATAGATATAGTAGAGATAAAAATAGCAGTAAATAAAGGATCTCAAATGATAAATTTGACAAAAAAAATATAATGTAAATCTTCTATCATTTTCTAAAGAAAAATAGCTAAAGGATTAATACTAGAATAGCAATGGTATCTTTATGAAGAAATATTCAAGATCTATCAAAACAGAATGGATATTATTCATTATCGTTACCTTCTATTAATAAATCAAAAAAATTAGCCAAATAAAATAATAAATTATATCATGTTATTTAAATATTTTATGATAAAAAATGCAATAATATTTTTAATTAAAATATTTAAAAAACTTTTTTATAAAGAAACATAAAAAAAAAACTTTCATAAATTATATTATTTGAATATTTTTTTATTCAGATTCAGAAAGATATCCTCTAAAGAAAAAAAAATAAGAATGTTAATGATATTTCTAATAATAAAAAAAAAAAAAATCACTTTTTCTTAACTTATCTTTCATATTTCAAGCTAAAATCCAGATCCAGAAAGGTATTCTCTAAAGAAAAAAAGAAAAGAAACATTAATGATATTCCTAATAACAAAAAAAAAAATCTCTATCTTACCTTTTCATATTCTAAACTAAAAACTAAGTCCAGGAAGACATTCTCTAAAGAAAAAAGAAAAGTAATATTAATGCATTTCCAATAATAAAAAAAAATGAAAATCTGAAGAGAAATCAAAGCTAGATTGGTTTATAAAAATAAGTTTAATTTTATTTTTTTATTTTTTCCTTTATTTTTATAATTAACAAAAATTCTTCATTAAAAAAAACTTACCTCTGATTTGATTCCAATCCAGAAGGTTCAGAACCTATAAAAAAGTAAGTTTTCTTTTTTTATTTTTCTAAAAAATTTTAACAAACCCACCTATCCTTTCTCTATTAGAAACTTACCTCCAATTCTAAGATGAAGAATTCCAAAACTTACAAAAAGATAAGTTTTCTCTTTTTATTCTTTTAAAAAGAATTTTAACCTATCTACATATCTACATACCTTTTAATAGGAACTTATCTCTGATTCCAAGATGAAGAATTCTAGATTGGTCTACAAAAGTAAATTAAATATTAGTTTTTTTTTCTTATTTTTATAATTAATAAAATTTCTCCATTAAAAAAAAACTTATCTCTGATCTGATTCTAATCTAAGAATCTAAAACCTATAAAAAGGTAAGTTTTTCTCTTTTTTATTCTTTTAAAAAATTTTAAAAACCTACTCTCCCTCCTTCTATTAAGAACTTACCTCTGATTTCAAGATAAAGAATTCTAAATCAGTCTACAAAGATAAGTTTAATTTTATTTTATCTTAATTTTTTTTATAAATTAACAAAAATTCATTAAAAAAACTTACCTCTAATCTGATTCTTATTCAAGGGTCTAGAACTTACAAAAAGATAAGTTTTCTCTTTTTTATTCTTCTAAAAAGAATTCTAACAAATTTTTTCTCCCTCTCTTCCTTTATCTAATAAGAACTTACCTTTAATTCCAAGATGAAGGATTTCAAATTAATCTATAAAAGTAAGTTTAATTTTATTTTATCTTAATTTTTTTTTTTATAAATTAACAAAAATTCATTAAAAAAACTTACTTCTGATCTGATTTATATCTAAGGGTCTAAAACCTACAAAAAGGTAAGTTTTTCTCTTTTTTATTCTTTTAAAAAATTTTAATAAACCCACCTTCCTTCTTCTATTAGGAACTTACTTTTGATTCCAAGATAAAGAATTTCAGAATCTACAAAAAGATAAGTTTTCTCTTTTTTATTTTTCTAAAGAGAATTCTAACCTATCCATGTTTAGGAACTCTCTTCCTTTCACAAATCCTTCCTCTCTCCCTTTATCTAATAGGAACTTATTTCTGATTCTAAAATGAAGAATTCCAGATCAGTTTACAAAGATAAATTTAATTTTATTTTATCTTAATTTTTTTTTATAAATTAACAAAAATTCATTAAAAAAACTTACTTCTGATTCTAAAATGAAGAATTCCAGATCAGTTTACAAAGATAACTTTAATTTTATTTTATCTTAAATTTTTTTTTTATAAATTAATAAAAATTTATTAAAAAAACTTACTTTTAATCTGATTCTAGAAATCCAGATCATCTCTTAAAGAAATAAAGTAAAGTGATATTCTTAAGATAAAAGAACATATCTTTTGAAATAAAAGCCATCCAAGCTAAAATCTGAAAGGAGAATGACCAAAGACAATCATAAAAAATAAAATAAAAATTTTTTTTTTTTTATTTACAATAATATAAAATAATTAAATTGATTAGCTTATTAATTGTTTATTACAGATTATTTTCTATTTTAATTATTTACATAAATGATCAGTACTTCTCAAAATTACAACTAAAATAGTTTTTCCATTTTTCTCAAAATAAAAAATTATAGGTTTCTTTCTTTTTAACTGATGCAAGCTCATCTTAGTAAGTTTATGAGCTAGTATCTTAGATGATCTGTAAAAAACGTCATTTTCCTCTATTTGTTCTGACCAGATCTTCTTTACATATATGGATTTGTCTAAAGATAAGTTCTTGAATGAGATTTTATTAACAAGAAGTTTTGTTAGGTTATTTTGAAGACTGTGAGAATTTGGTTTAGTTAACAAAAAATTGTGTATTTTTAGGATCAAATATTATATTCTTATCATAGACAAAAGTAATTTTCTGCTAAGATGCGAATGCAGAATAATTTTTGAACTACATTAATTTAAATCTTTAATACAAATTTTGAGTTTGACAGTTTTATAAAGCAGATTATTTTTTCCTACAAGAGTGGGAATTGTATCTAAGAATAAAGCAATGTATACAAAATTTGGTATCCAAGATGGTCTAAATAAATTTTTTATCATTAAGAACTATAGTATCTTCATTTTTAGTAGTGTTGTGATCATCAATTAAATTAAAATACAAAAAAACATATTATAAATTATGGTAATTAGAGCAAGTTATGAAATGACTTATATCATCGCATTGATAGCTTTATGATAGGTTTCAATTCTCTGCCAGTAGTATTATGTAGTAGGTTTATGAGTTTGAGAATATGTATTAAGCAGAATTTTACTTTATCTTCAAAGACTAAACAAAAGTAGATATAAACAAAGTCTTTTAGGATAAAATGGCCTTTAGTTGAGGTAAAGGTAGTCATATCGGTATTCTCAATGAAAGAGATTGTTACTTGTTATTAGAGATTTTTAGTAATAATTGGACAATAAATAATTGTGTTAAATTTAAAAAATGTTGATTGAATTACGTATTTAGAGATAGAGAACAGAATCTCTGTAATTTTGATCGACAGATCAGGGTTAAATTTGAAAAGGAAAGGTCATTCAAAAGATTTCAAAATAAGATCAATCATATTAGGAAATTTAGTACTAATTGTTTTATTAGTATCTATATAAGAAGAAAAGCTGATTTGACAATTTTAAGTGTTTTATTGAGAGGTTTTATTTGATCAAAGCACTAATAAATGAAGAAAAATTCATCCTATAGAATATGTTATATACTCAATTGATTTTTTTTTTATTTAATTTTCCTGAGAAAAAAGTTTTTACAACGCAGTAAATGTAAAATGTTATAGCGTCGCAAACACGTTCAAAGGATAAAATATTGGGAGAAAAGTTTTTAGGTTTAAGTAAGTTTTTAAAAGTATTATATGCTTGGTCTTTATATATAACGTTATTATTGTTATAATTAACATTTTACTATCTTTTGGTATTTTATTTAATGAAGTATTAGTAACAAAAGGTGAAGTTAGCACTTTTTTATTTTCATTATCTTTCAGAATCATAATAGGTGTATTATATTCAATTATTTTAGAAAGAATAGACTTTATTTATTGTTTAATACTCATATCATCAACTAAAAGAATATTGGTAGTAGTTATAACTTTTGAGGGTTCAGCTATAGTTCTATCTGTTAGATTAGACCTGAAAGTCATAGTATTTTTCAACAGTGACTGTTCTTTATTACTAGTTAATGAACTAAGACAGTTTCTCAAGTTGCGGTTATTATTTTGTAAAAAATTTTTATTTTTTTCTTTTTCCACTTTTTGTGATTTTAGAGAGAGAGGGAAAAGTTTTTTTTTAATATGTAAAAATAATCTGTAAGAATGATCAATTTCATACTATATTAAAATAATTTGCAATACTGTAGCTAAATTAAATAATTAAATGATCTACATGTCTTATTTCCTAAATTTGATAGTCTAATTTATTATGCAAATAGACCTTATTACATCATTTATTATTGACGTTATTTAATTCATTTATTTTATTTAAATTATTTTATTTATTTTTATTATTTTATTTATTTATATTATTTTACATATTTTATCTATTTACTTAATTTTATTTGGTTTATCATTATACATATATATTTTATATAAATAGGAGTAGTTCATTAATATAAAAGAATAGAGAAAAAAATTCTTTCTTCTTTCACTTCAAATTTCTGAAAATTTAGAAATTTTTGAGAAAATTAAATTGTTTTGCTACAAATTTTTATTTAAATTTTACAAACTCTGTTAGCTAGTTTTTTAGCACACACATTTAACAAACAGTTTATTATTTTAAAAGAATTTATTTTATTCAATATAATTACAAAATGATTAGAAAAATCTAAAATAAATCTTCTAGCAATAAGTCTAATAGAAGTTGTTATGATTCTCTTAAAGCTAGATAATTGAAGCTAGTGATTCCTCCTTTTTTGATAATAAACCTAAATCTTTCTCAGTCTCTGATAAAGACATTGTCGATGATACCTTTATTGTCAAGCCCACTCCTTCCTAATGTTTTTGACATAAACAAATTTGTTTCTATCAAGAATGATACAAACATAGAAACTGATAATACTAATTTTATTATTATGACTCGTTCTACTTCATATGCTTATGCTATTACTATTAGCAAATCAGCCAAGAAACTTCCCATCTCTAAAATTATTTTAGATATTAACAACTATTTCCCCAAAGATGATATGTTTAAGAGGTTAAACGTTTGTTGAGTCAACTTCATTTGATTAGCAATTGTTTATTTTGACAATGTAAAATGTATGTAAGCTATACTTTCAACGGCATTACCATATAATGCTCTATAAAGTACTCCTTTAAAAAAATACCTCCAGTTAATTATATCTGAGTATTATATCATTCATATAACATAAAAATTTAATTAATATCTAGATACAAAACGTGAACTTAATATTTTACAAATAAAATTAATAAAATTAAAAAAATAATTAAATTTATTATTTTCAAAAATGTTTATATTTTATTTTAAATTCTCAAATATTTCATTATATAATTATACATTTAATTCCAATCATTAATATAATTTCTTTCTTGTGTTTTATAATAATTATTTTCATATTCTTTATCACCAATATTATTTTTTTTCTTTTTCTAAATAAATTTCGATATTTCTACCTTTCTGATCATCTATTTCATCATTTAAGTAAATATAATTACTTTGATTAGTAGTATTACTTTCTGCAACTTTATCATAATCAAATATAAGATGTTCTTCACTTCTATCTTGCCCATTAAAAATTTCACAACACTTGAATAAATGATAAATTAAGGAAGAATCTATAGCATCCATGCATTTTTAACCTATTGAATAACTAAATTATAAGCAGATTTTTGAATACAACCACTTGGAGTATAAGTTTTTATTTCTTCAGCCATCCAATCATTATAATAATAATGTAACTATTATTAATATAAATAAAAATTTTAATATTTGAATTATAAATATATAAATATAAATATTTTTAAACATACCTTAAATTTAAAAGATTTGTTAACTGATACATTTAATAGTTATAATTTGAAAGTAAGTCTATTAGGTATAACTGCAATATTGGCATTTTTTTCTTAAAATCAGGTAATTTTGTTTCATCTGCTATATAAGCTAAGATTACAGTAAAATTTAATTTTTCATATCCACAAGTCTGAATACTAACAGTTTTTAAATCAGTTTATTCTATTATTATTTGACTAGGAAGATCAAATTACAGTTAACTCTTATTATAACGAACTCTATGTCCTAGATCTCAACTTTGCTATAAGGCTATAGTGAAGATTTTAAGAGATTTGATTGGCTAATTCACTATAATAAGAGTATTTTTATTATATTTGTTCAAAAAATTTGTTATATTAAGAGTTCACTATATTAAGAGTTGACTGTAAACAGGTATTTCATCCATATTATCAATAAGTTTTAATAGATAATTGTATTGAATTTGTCGATAAAAAACAAATCCTAAAAATTCATGTTGCTTTCTAATAAATTTTCAGGTAATTATTATGCTACAGTTATACATCAATAATGATTAAATTTATGTTATACCATAAATCCATCAATCCATTTACTACTAAATTTACATTCTTTAATATCAGGATATATAATACTAAATTGATCTATTTGTGCAAGAGCTTTAGCCTTTATTTGTATCATTAATCTGATTACAACTTTTAAATTTTGATGTAACTCCTTAATCTACTAGTCTAAAACTATTTCAAGTTCTGAATATTTTAAGCATAAACTATTATTTAATCATTAAATATGAGGTGAAGTTTCTATTAATTGTTATTTAAATTTACACTATTTTCTAACTTAAACAGGTTCAATATTAAATATAGTAGCTGTTACTCAAATACTATTTTGTGAATAATTTTTAAAATAGGCTAAAACAGCTAATTTTTCTCACGCATTCTATTGACATCATTTTTGAGTAATAATTGCTTAATGATGGTATTTATTTACATTAGATAGAGACATATTATATACAATTTATTGTATATATATATAATATAGATGCCTGCTGAAACCTTCTCAAAATAATTTCGTCATATCCTTTTCTATATTTTTAATATAATTTTGACAGTTTTGGCTTTTGTTATATCGAAAGGATTTCGTTATATCCCTTATTATAATTTTAATATAGTTTTGTCTAAGTTTCAACTATTATTAAGGGGTTTCGTCACTCATTATTAATATATAATAAAAAAAATATCCTTTTTTTGTTTTGCTGGTTTCATTTAATATGTTTAAAGTTAAAATTTTTAACACATTCATTTTGATCACTTTTTATATAAGATGTGATATATGCTAATCTTACATTTCTATATTAATTATAATATTTCTTGTAAAATGCAAATTACAATACCCCTCACGTTTAACACATGACTAAAAATTAAGTCATTTAGATTTAAATACTCCATCACGAGAATTAGCTAAAAATTCTAATTAATAATATAAAAAATTTGTTATTTTAAATAATTTATCAATTAAATTATAATAAAATTAACAACCTTTTTTATATTATTTTATATTTTGATGTTTTCAGACCTTCTTGTAAAATATATCATTTTCAAAAAATTGCAATTTAATTTCATAAATTTCTTATATGAATTATTGGTTAATATTGAAATTTAGGGTTTGTTAATAAATGATTAAATATCATTTTCATAGGAGAGAATACATGAAATAAAATGGGTTAAAATTTTATTAAATTATTTATTATTAATATCTCATATCCTTCATATAATATAGCATTCCATATGTGATTATAACTTGATATATCATCTTTGACTTGATATTTAACATCTAAAAAAAAGAGAAAGATTAAATAAAAAATTATTTTAATCTTAATTTTAGAAAAGCTAATTACCTTTATATCTTTCTGATTGAATTTAACAATTTATATATTTAGCATAACTATTATATTTTTTTAATATACCTGCACTATTAGCAAACTGTGATCCTGATAAATAGATGTGAATTAAATTAAAAATACTTTAATATTAATATGCAGTATTCTGAATCAAAATTTGCTTTCATATCTTATTATAATGTATTAGAGATTCAATAACATTTATTTAAAGGATGTATTGCATAATTATTTATATTAACCTGAATTATATCAAAATATTTTGAAATTAAATTCAAAGAAAAGGTATTTTATACTGTATTCCCCTTCCACTTGTTTCTGTTTTCTTATTTCCACCAGCAAAGTTTCAATTTAATTTTATATATATTAGTTTAGTTGAGCTTCATTAGTGATAAAAATAAAACTTTATTCTAAAATAGTATTTGATGAAGCTGAAATTTCTGAAGTATATTTCTACAGTTGTAGTTATAATTATAGATGTAAGTATAAGTATAGGTATAGGTAATTGATTTGTTGAATCTGAAAAGGATTCTATAGTTTTCTTAGCATTTTGTTCATTCTTTACATTGCATTTTTTAAAGCATTTAAAATATCTGTAAAATCCACAGAAATTTCTCTTTATTCAATATATAAAAAAAAAAGATGATTAACTGATCATCCTGATTATCTAAATTTTTGATAAATTGTATTTCTAGCATAATATCCCATTTAGTATACCCTCTATTATATACAGTACCCTGAGGGTATTATTTATAGTTAGCCTGAGTTTAGCAATTAGTACTTAAAATACTTTATAGAGCACTATATAGTACTTAAATTAGAAATTAATAAGATTGTAGATTACATCATGCATAAGAAGAATACTCAGTTTTAGAATCATACTCTTCGCATTACTGATATTTATCTTAGCCTTATAAAAGAGATTATCTCCTCAATATTTTTTAAGTACGGAACTATCATCAACATCCGCATGCAGACTCAAGACCTATAATAATATGTATATGTAACATTTAATAATCTCAAGGCTATAGAATTATTCCAAACTTCTTGATCCTATTACATTCATAATGATTGTGTTCAAGTATATCTAGTATCTCTTACTTCTGAATAGTTCAAACAATGAAATGAGTTCTGCATTAAATTAACTAACCTTCCCTTTGGTACCTCTGCACGTGACCTTAATGACATCTTACTTGCAACTAAAGTTAAAGCTATATATATCCCTCGCTTCAATAACTATAAATCTTGACTATTCACAATCTTTTATTTTAAATCTGCAGAAGCTCTCAAAAATGCCATGATCAAAGACTATGCTTTTGATAATAACGAACTGCAATAGTGTATAGTTGATGCCAAATGCTGCTACAAATGTGATACAGTTAATCACATAGTCATAAAATGCCTAATCATCCTCAATTATAAAAATGCTATGAAGGATGAGAATTAAGATAATAGAATTATTAGATCTAAGCTTCTGTCTGTTCAATAACTTTATAATCATTTCAAATCGGCTGGTTCTCATTAATCATTAAACTCCTACTCAAAATAATATGAATAATCCGCCTGTCAATTCTTAGAAACCTCTTCTAAAGATGTTAAAGGTAAAGGTCAAGTATAATAACTACTTGACTGTCAATGATTCTATTCACAACCCTAATAATAATTCAAATAATGACATCAAAAAAAAACTCAATCAAATTCTAAACATGCTTACCAATATACAAAAAGTCATGACAGATCTAAAAATACAAATCTCTAAATTAGAAAAGATTGACTTTAACTCTGACGCTACATCTATAATTTTTACTAATGTCTCTCTTAAACCTTTCTCTCATTACCTTATCCTTAACTTTAATTAAAAAAAATGTACACAAATTGCTTAATAATAATGGTTCTTCTAATTCTAAAGCTGTTGATCCAAAAATTCAAACTTATATGAACAAATAAAATTTCATCATCACTGATCTCTACTAATAACTAAAGTTAGAAATGACTCAAATTACCAATCTTGCTAGCCAAGCTTATAATAATTTTCACACACTCCTCTATTATAAAATTTATTATGATTAATTACAATAATAATTTTAATGATAATAATATTGTTATACCCTTCATACAATAACTAATACAATGAAACTACATACTCAAAAAACTCACCTACTCTCTTATTTGTCATAAATAATGTTAATTCCCTTCAATACGAACTCAAAATTAATTAATTAATAATATATTTTTAAATCTCAACTCTGATTTTGTAAGATTGACTGAAACTAGACATAAGAGCAATCAATTCTATAAATACAAAATAATCCTAACTTTATAAGTTTTTGGAATTTCAAAATCAACAAACTCATTTAGATGATGATCAATTCATCTACATTGACCTCTTTATTCCTAGCAATATCAAATTAAGAGTTTTTAGTATCTATCTATACGCTTCTAAGAATGCTTCATTGAAAAAAAAATGCAAGCAATTGCAAGATATCATCATTACTCATATTAAAAATAGTATTAGAGACAACTTTAGGATTGTTCTCTTAGGTGATTTTAACGCAGACTTAAATACATATTAATATAATGTTAATAATAATATTACTAAACCTTATTATTTTAACTTCTACAACAAAATATTTATTCTCAATTTCCTTAATTTATATGACATTTGTCATGATACACCTATACCTACTTTTTAGAAAGGAAATCTAAGCTCCCATATTGATACTATATTTGCATCTACTAATTTCTCTCAAGAATTTCTTTACTCTAACATAGATACTCCTGACTTATATTCGTCTGATCACAAAATTATCATTGCTTCTTTCACTAACCCATAACATCAACTTATAGCTAAAGCTAAACTCAGACAGAATCGTTGACAAATTTTCAATTTAAAGAAAATGGATTTTACCAAATGGGCTAGTTTTAC